GGTTGTTACCGACATCTGGTGAAAATTTCATGTCATTAGCACCTCTAGTAATATATTTACTGAGAAAAATGGTGACGTGTTCAATACTTATTTTACCCGCTGTATCTATTTATTTTCAGCAACTTGTCTTAAGATATTTTAAAAAATCCTGTTAGATTTGAGAGAAAGATCGTCCAGTYAAGCCAGACTAGATCTAATCAACATGTTTCACTCCTTGTTTTAYTAACATTGATAATTTGTGAACAAATTAACAGGAAAACTGCTAAAGCTAGCCTGTTCTGTAATTAAAATAATAAAAGGAAAAAAAAAATCAATTGCATGCATGTTTTTTGGTCTGTGGGATGGAACCGCAATACCTGGAGAAAACCCACATGTGCACGAGCCGTGGGGTTAAAACCTTGTCGAAACTGCAATCAAGTTCCTACTCGCAATCCAAAATAGCATCACTGTGGTAAAGTTATTTCTAGAAGAATGCAGCGTCTTATTTMAATGACCCATCAGATTAGTGGAAACGTAACAATGAGGGAGGCGTTCCCAGTTACTGAAATACTGCTGGGTGTCGGAGCTCAGACTGAAGTGTCTTTTCTGCTTGCTTCCTTTCTGTTTTCTGACTGTTTCTTAAGTGAAAATTCAAACATTTAAAGGTGTTTAAATCAGTTGGGATCTTCTTGTTTCTGATTAGGATCTAATTTGGTGCAATTGTCAAGTAATAATAACTGAAATTGGACACAAAAAATAGATTTTTTTTTGGCGAGTATAGTTTTAGGGTTAAATCTGGTCCTTCAGCCTTACATTATTATAAAGAATTTGTATCAGAGTCAATATGTGTGAGTTGGTTTCCCTTTTCATTACACTTTAATAATAAAGTAATGGCTCTTTGATATAAATTTGATATAAATAAATAATATTTAAAGCATTTTGTTTTGTCAGCACATTTTAACAAAAAACTGACGTTAAAATTGATTAAATTTTTTGTACTTCTAATCTCTAAAGGTGTCAAATAATATTGTATAAGTGCTAAAATTTAAATTTAAATACAGCAAAACTGAGATAAAATTGCAATGAGCAAATCAGTAGTTAGAAGTTCAAATTGGCAAGACATAAGCTAAATTAGCTAAACAAATGCTAAAACTTCAGGAGCACAAAAAGACACTAAAAATATGACYTCAATCAGCTAAAATTGTCAGCAAATTTGCTAAAAGTTCAAATGAGCTCTAATGTAGCTAAAAGGAAAAAATTGTAAAACTAGCTGAAAATTAAACTTGTCATTTTTAATTGTTTCTCTGTAGCGTGGTGCAGCGACAGTGGTATAAAAACAGCCGTTTTATTGGACAAACTCTTTACTTAAGAGGCTATAATTAGTGTTATTAGTTTTAAGTGGCYGTTTCAGTGGATGCATGATGTATTTGTCTGACTGGGTTTGTTTTTGTGACGCTGCGCTGTTCCAGATTATAATTAAGGGTCTTTTCACAGCAGAACCATCAGCTGTGTTTTAAACCAGATCTSTGTGGCTGATGCTACTGGCTGCTTCTTCAAACAGTGAATATATAAATATTTATATCTTTTTTTTTGTTCCTTCCACAGATGACTACCCATCAGCCATCAGTGATCACCACAGTCCCTCCTCCACACCCATTTGTCCCAGCCCCAGAATCCTCACCGGCTGTCCCGTTCCCACCGTGCCTCCGGCCGGCCAATCGGCTCCCCGCGTTCGGACTCCGCTGTCCGACCCCAGCCAACCCCAGCCTCTGCTGCCGGTGGCGAAGGAGTGTCCGCAGAGCGCCAAGCCGCCCAGCGGGTCACGGTCTGGAGCCCACGGCAGCTCGGCTGTCTCCCCTCTGAACCGGGACAAGAAACAGAGGCTCGGCTCCGCAAGCGCCGGAGGGCAGGCGGTCGCCAAGCAGCCGAAGAACAGCCGCCAAAAATCCACCAACGGCTGGAAGCCGGTCGGGCTGCCCTTTGAGAAGGAGGTTTTTATTGTGGTGAGCAGAAAAAAGTCGACCCGAACGTCTTCATGACTTTGACAATCGCTTTAAATAAATCACTAAATCTTTGTGCCTGTTGGTTCGTGTGCTCCCAGGGTGAGGAGACTCTGGTGCTGAGGAAGAGCTTCGAGGGCATCCGCAGGGACGGGGATGTGATTCGGGTCAGAGACACAGTTCTGCTGAAGTCTGGACCCAGAAAGAAGACTTTGCCTTATGTGGCCAAGGTGTCAGCTCTGTGGGAGGAACCAGAGTCAGGTACATGGGTTCACCACGCCACACCAGAAGCTGAACTCTGCCTTGGAACTGAATTGTGTGGTTATTTCTTTTTTTCTTCAGGAGAGCTGATGATGAGTTTGTTTTGGTACTACCGTCCAGAACACACGCAGGGGGGGCGCAACCCCACCATACATTGTGAGGTAAGATAGTTAGATAGAAATYTAGATGAACAGATTRAAAAAAAATGCCTGAGGAGGCAAARGATCCAGATGAAGGATGGGTCGGCAAGCTTTTTATGGCCTTGACCCAGAAAAAAAAAAGTTGACAGCACACTAAAATGGACTTGTTTCACAAATATTCCTAATTTATGTTTTCTTAAGCAAGCTGCAGTTTTATGTTTTATTTGCATTATTGATGTTCTGATATCTACATCATTACAAGTACMCATATAAAATGCCACAATACTCTGGACCGATACCAATACCAGTATCAATACTCCYTTGAATGAGTTWCAGTTGACATTTGAAGTGAAAAGTTTCTCAGTACCATGTTTAAGAAATGTACAAGTTGAAAGAAAATCTTATTTACCGTATATTTATTTTAAAATATTGCAACAGGATGCTGCATGCTGAATATTTGATTTGATCCAGTCAGAAGGTCTGTAGGCCTATAAGGAAGTAGAGTTGTAAATAAAAGAAATGTGTTTTCAAAGTCACAGTGTTTGAGTTCTAATTCAGTAAGTCTTTGGTATTGGAACTCAGTATTGGCCAGTACTCACACTCAGTTTAAGAAAAATTGGTATTGGGACACCCCTAGTTTACATTAAAGTGGGCTAACTTTTGTTTTACTTTTACACAAATATGAGKGACTCAAATACACGCACTCAAACACTATATAGTTCAGTGTTTAATTCATTTCAAAGATGTGTAATAGTAGTGAAGAAATTTATTGGGGTTTGCTTATATACTGATCTTTATTACACTACACATGGTATGGTCTTATTATTAGGAGAAATGTAATGTCTGTTAAATGTGATCATTTTGCTTAAATTGATGGTTTTATATAGATGCATGCTAGGGTTGGGCATAATCGTATCGTGTGCAATTAATCGCCAGAAAAACATTTATCGATTATGTTTTGGCACTTGATGATTAATACGATTAATGCCACGAGGCAGAGTCCGCTCGGTGCTCCTCTCCGCTTCAAATATGACGAACATTAAAAAAAACATTCTGTAATTAAATTATTAACACAATTTAAAATTTGAAGTATAGCCTGAAGTCTGTCATTTTGACACAATTTGGAACTGATTTTTATGAAGAGCAAATATTTCCCACTAAATTGGTCATGTGACCACGACACAAGGTTGTCCAAGGACTCCAGGGGATTAAATGTCAAATTAATCGTTATCGACTAAATACTCCAATTAATCGTTYTTAATTCTTTTGCCAATATTGCCCAACCCTAAAACATGCCTGAACACAGATTCAACACATAACTGAACCATTAATCCTCATTAGGTCAGATTATATTGTGAGGACATGGCTTCAGCAGTGTGTTAGGGACCCCATCCTGATGACGTAATAAAGTAGGCGGAGTCATGTTCTGAAAATCCTGTTATATTGAACTGACTGCTGGAAGACGGAGCTGAACGCAGACCAATAAACTGTCTCCAGACCGAGCTGCTCAGTGATGGTGTATGAACTCTTTTCTATTCAATTTCCATGCATTGGTACATTTTCGGTGTGGTTCAAGCACAAAATGGTAAACGAACACGCTTAACAATATTTTCTTTCAGTAGTACGCACACTTTACTTCTGTTAAAAGTTTTCTTTGTAAATAGAAAAAAGAATAAAACTTTATAAACTGTTACATTTTGTGGAGAGGAGTGGATAGCCGTATCTGAGGCGCACCAGGTACAATGAGAATAACCAGTTTGTACCTTTCAAACATGCTAAATATAGAATAAATCTTCAACTGCACCCAGTTTCAGATTTGATAAATCACACTGGAGCTAAATGATTATATTTGCATATCCTCCCCTTAGTATTTTGCGCGTTCTGATAATCATCATACATTTTGCGTATTCATTAAGGCAAACACGCTAAATGGATCTGCTATTTTGCTGATTTGACAGACGCAGTCCTCGGCACACAGTTAATAAATACACTTTACGAGCGATCACGRTTGTGTGTCGTTTTATAAAGCTTTGATAAATCAGCCCCACGGTGTTTTGGGGCTTGTTAATCTGCGTTACATTGCATCCGTCCGTAAATTCCATCCTATGGATTTACAGAACATGAATTCATGAGCAACAGCTTCTGTGGCGTCTGCTTCCTGATGTCAGTCGTCTCCCCCCGAGGAAAGAAAGTTTGATTCAGTGCCTAGAAACAATAAACCGCATGAAGTCTGTCACGTCTCAGCTGAACCAACAAACATATCAGAGCAGCTGTGTGAGAACAGTAACGGGGCTCTGCCTCTGAGGAAAATAGAAAACAATCTTTGTTCTGTGTTATAACTGGAATTTAGGAGGGAGATGAGACATAAACGTCAGAGACCCCTTTGAGATTTGAACATATGCAGAACATGAAGTAGGTACTGGATTGTATTTTATCTGGTTTGTTCTTTTGTTGTTTTTCCGCAGAATGAGATCTTTGCATCTCGTCACCAGGATGTGAACAGTGTGGCCTGTATTGAAGACAAATGCTATGTCCTAACATTGGCACAGTATTGTCGGTGAGAACAAAAACAAGTTACTTTTACTGGTTTTTTTCCACTCCGTTTGAAGTCACATGACCGTGCGCACTGTTCTGAATATTCTCTCTGGTAACTGGGGTCCAAATGTTTGTGCCGTGCTCAGATTTTGTGCCTTGGTCAAACGCCGAAGGGAGGGTGTACGTGACAGCGCCYCCTCCCTCGTGGTGCCCCCCGTCGTTGACAACGCCATGCCCACCCACCGCTGTGTGCCCGATGACGTCGACCCCGAGATGGTGTTCTTCTGTCGACACGTCTACGACTTCCGCTACGGACGCCTCCTCAAGAACCTGCAGTAGCACGTGGCGAGACGTGACGCGTTTTGGATCACCTTGAGCGTCATCCTCCACAAATTTTAATTAGCTCCCCGCTGCCTAGTATGAAGGATGGAAAACTTACTTTGCTTTAAAATCTTGTGTTCGTATTTAAACACCTGGCATTTGTTAAGTAATGGTTGATTATAGGACAGTGTAACTGGCCTGTGTCGTACGGTACACGGCTCTGGTGATGTAGCAGCTGCGTGGAAGAACCTCTGCTGTAGAAAAACGCTACTGTAGCTCTTAGAAATGTGACATTTATTAGATCTGAGTGTTGTTTCTGTCTGCCTGACGAATCTCAGACACGTAAAGTGTTTCAGTGATGCGCTGTAGTTGATCAAATATGAGGCTTGTCGTTGGGGTCTTCGTGAAGAGAACAGAGGTTTAATCACATTTTATCTCCTGTTGTTTGCTAAATGTCCTTTTGGAGAGTTATGTTTTGTACAAGACACAGCACAGAAGTTTTACCTAAAGGTTAAACAGAGTGCATGTTGGTGTCTTTAGTGACTTTGTTGAATAATAAGAAACAAGTTGATCAATCTCCTGCAGAGCTGTGTGAACTGGTTTGTGTTTTAGATGAAGAACCACCACGAGCCAGAAAACAGTTTATGCATCTGTGTTCATGTGGATATAGCCAAATATTGGACTTTAAAGCAAGAAATATTTCATATTTTCCTGCTATTGGCCTGGATTTGTCTGTAAAATATACGCTAAGAATCAAAAAGAAAAAATAAGTAGCGGTAGGTCCTCTGGATGGGTTCTTCTTTAGTGAAACGTTTCGTCTCTCCTCCAAGAGACTTCTTCAGTCTGATGAGTTTCAGGTGAACTCAGGCCCCTGTGAGCAAAAGATGTGAATCAGGGCCCCAACGATAACAACACAAAGAGGGAAAAAAGGCAAAAAACAAGGGGACTTCGAGCCCCGCCTGCATTCACTACATACACATGACACGACACCTAAGAACCACAGCATCCAAACCAATAAGTCAGGTGATGGAACACATGACCCTCTATGAACAATAGAGCTAATCAAGCCTATTGTTAGGCGATGGTCCTCTTTTGCATGTGACTAACCTGTTMGTCCATGTGGAGGCAGTGCTTATAAGTTCACCTGAAACTCATCAGATTGAAAAAGTCTCTTGGATGAGAGACGAAACGTTTCATTAAAGAAGAACCCGTCCAGAGGACCTACTTATTTTTTCTTTTTGATTTTTTCTACCTGGATTACTGAGATGCATCAGGACTATCTGAGAACGCTCTGATGGGTCATTTTGAGCTAATGATGACGTGTGGAGGATTTTGATTAATTTTATTGAAAGGAATCGCTCTCACACCAACATGCACTCTACAAAGAAAGCACAGCTCAGTTTTAGTTAAGAGTCAAATGAGCCAAACAGAKGGGATTTCTCATTAGACTGTTGTTGGATGAAGTGTAGTTTGACTCTAATCATAAATTTGTACATTTTCCTATCTGGTTTAGTGTTGGACAGTTTCAGGCAGATGGTTTTGTTGGTTATCCACTTCGATTTTTGTTTCTTCACGGATGCGCCGGTGAATTATGTACTCAGTGTAGCATTTTTAGATCCGTGATGATGACCTATTCCTATTTTTTTGAGAAAWGCGTATTTATTTCTGTACTGCAAAAAATAAATAATTTATTTTCAAGAGGTAACTTTAAAGAATAGAGTTTTAGATGAATGACTTCCATTGATGAATACAAAAAAAGATTCACTTGCAGTATATATATTTTTTTCTGTTTAAATGACAAGTTTAAAGTTGAAATGCTAAAAGTGAGCATATCTGAGGACAGATATGGACAGTGGTGGGCCCAGCTAACCAAAAATTAGCTTTGCTAACTCGTAATCAGCTAACTAAAAATGGATCTTTGCTAATGCTAAATATGTTTAAAAATAAACTAGCAGGAGCTAATGCTAAACAAGTAAAAAAAATAGGAGCTAACAGTAACAGCTAACTGCGTCACATCTTCATCTCCTTCCAGCTAAAGACCTGTTGATGTTAGTTTGTAAGTTAGCTCTTAGTGACCTTAAAGTTGACAAAACCTAATTTTGTGGAAACTAATTGGTCCACTGATGATTTTCAAAAAACCTAATCCGCTAAACGAAAATGAGTTCTGCTGTTAGCTGGTTAGCAGAACCACACCCACCACTGATTATTAGTTTGAAGGACGTATGTGAACGTTGTTTTCTTGACCCGCAGGACCAAAATGTACCTTGATTTCTCGCTGCTTCCCATCATTCTTTCATGTAGATAAAAAATAAAAATAAATTTGCCAGTCCACCTTTTAAACGTAAACCACATGAATGATTTAACCCGACCTCATCGTTAGCCTGTGCCCTCGCTCTTGCTGCCTTTTTCCCCGCCGTTCGTTTAGGAATGTGTACCGACGTTCACTTACAGCTCATGAGCATTGCTGATCCTGATTTCTAAGAAACTTCTGAATGCGTTTCGACGTTCTGTGTGATTTCAGTAAAATAGGTTTATTTTGAAAAGTCTGTCAAATTTTTATTACCTTTTTATATAAATGAAACAACCAACAAATGCAAAAATAGATTTTTTTTGTTAAAAATAGTTTGTCTCGTAGGAACGTTTTTTTATTGTATTTTTGCAAAATGTTACATTTAAGGACTGATATCGATACAAAATAAATCCTCTTCCCATTAGTCAAGCTTAAAGAAGGTAGACAGAAATTTTTTAAATCTTGCTACAAACATTTTCAAAAACTCCCCAGTTTAAGACAAATTTGGTTAGTTTAATCAATAAAAATAAATGTTTGTAGTTTTCTTCGTCTTTAAACTTTTTTCTGATGTTTTTGTGTCATTTTTTACAAAAAAAACCCTGAGAATAAGAACATATCTTTTCTAAAATGTCATTAATTTCACTTAATTCTGTTTTTATCCCTSCTGAACTGTATTTGATATTCCTTCCAAAATGAATTTACAAAATTTAATCAAACAAAAAATTTTTCAGCACTATATTTCACCTCTTTTACATTTAATGAATACTATGCTACTTTATACCAAAATAAAGAGAAGATGCAGCTCCACAAAGATAACATAAATTAATATGTAATCATGTATTTTGGGGAACTATTTGGACATTTTGAATCTTAATTTTATTTATTTTGAACCTTTGAAGATTAAATTGATCAAAAACAAAAATAAAACCGACTCTTAAAATACAACATAAAGTTATCATACAGTACAAAAAAAAAAGCTGAATCAAACATTTATAAATCCCTGCCCTTTTTACTATTTATCTTTTTTATTGGACAAAATATGAGCTGGTCTATCATAAATGAGCCCTTCATTATTAGTGATTTTTCATATTGTTCAGCTCATGGTTTTAGTTTGRGTCATTAAGAAACAAGAAATGTGACCTGAATTAAATTAAAACTCAGCACTTTTAAACTTATTTATCTCAAGTTAAGTCATAAAAAATTCACATTTCTCATTGGACTTTTCTCTCATTTAAGAGAGAAACTTCAGTTATATTTACTAAAACAGATGAACTAAATGAAGCAATGGAGCAAAGTTGACAGTTTGATCCCCACTTTGCTGAAGGCAGATTTAGAAACACTGGTACAAAATAACTTTAGCGGTCATCGTAGTTTCAATTWTTTAATGGTTACAGAAATATACAAGTGTAGTAATAATAATAATATTACCAAAACATAACGAGACGACSGCTGTTTGACCCAAAAGAGAAAACTATAAATGATTTAACAAATTCATTCACGTGCTCCTAGTTTTTGCTCTAATTTTTTTAATATGAGAATATAGTTTTACTTAGAATTAATATTTGATGTCCATATAAACTAAATTAATGTGTGAATATGTTCATATTCGTTCATTCAGTTAATCAGACTGACGTGGAAATATTTTCTCTTATTTAAAYTAATCAAACTTTAACGCCACTTAATCTTTTTTTCTATGATAAGGGAAGCAAACACAATAAGTTGAACAGAGTTTGAACGTTGCACATACATGTCATGGCCTTTTCAATCCCTCAGCACACTAATGATCTTTAATCAAACTATTTGATGCTTCTGTCTTAAATGGTCCTCTGTGCCTGTCTTTCTTACTGTTCCCTGTTCAGAGAGTTTTCCTCCAGAGTTAGATGGATCGTCCAGTTTTCACCTTTTTGTTTGTTTGAGGATGTTTGACCTTGAATCGCCACACAGAAATGTTTGCACCTAAAAAGAAAAAAGAGACGAAACAATTAAATTCATTCCCAGGTGTACAAAAACATCAACTTCAGTCCTGTATGTGAAGTTTTTTCTTTATTTTTCCATATTCTTTGCATGGAAATATCTTGAATATTAATCACAGCACAGAATATTTGTATGGTTTCAAATGAACTTGTGTAACATAAGAAAAATATTTAATTGTAATAAATAATATATGAGTTTGAACAAACCTTTTCTGTCCTTTTTTGTGTGTTTTGTACTGTAGTGATAAATTTTACCCACATAATGGCTCAGTGGGATAATTTCACACCTTGTAAATTAATCCAAACAGCTCATCTTGAATTATAAAAGACAATCGTGTACCATGATAAAAAGAGGAAAACTATGAACACAACAAAGAATGGTCACTGTATATTTGGATGCTACTAATTACACTCCATTTTTTAATGTGTTACAACCCTGATTCATTTGATGTAAGACTCACCCAATTTGATCAAATAGCTTTTTAAAAAAATCCAAAAACACAGAATAATATACACTCCTGATCAAAATCTTAAGACCAGTCA